TACTCTTTTTGTTCACTGATTTTATTCCTGAGCTCATCGAACTGCCTTTCTGAGTTTTCTTGTATCTCGTCGAGTTTCTTCATAACTGCAATCCTGAATTCTCTGTCATTTAAATCACGGTCTTCTATGTCTTTGAGTTTGTTTCCTGGAGACTTTTCATTTTCTTTCTGAGCTACCTTGTTACCTTGGTTATTTGTAGTATTCGGTGGATTATTTCTCTGCCTGGTCTTTTGAGGGATTGAAATCTTTCTTTTTAAGTACTTTGTTTTGGCTTTTAACAATTTAGCAGGTTGATAAGTAGAGGTCTTTCTTTTGTTGTCCAGTAGATGGTGCTATAGCACGTTTTTAGTCTCTCTTACCTGCACTACTGGGGCTTCCGAGATCTTGGTGGGGCCACGATGACTCCACAGTTGAAAATGCCACCTCTTCCCCAAGCAGGTGTGCATTCCCTCGGCGACTGGCTTGCTCTGGTCTCAAGGCACCACCCCTTGGTGGGAGATGGCAGGCAATGGGGCTCCAGGCTGAGAGTCTCTCTCCTACAACCAGAAGCCGCCAGCCACGCTGTACTATCTGAGGTGTCCCAGCTACCTTGGCGGAGTTCGCGATGGATGGGGAGCTGTGGGTGGGGCTAGGTGGTTAATGCATCTGCGACTTTGTTTTTTCCACTGGATTTAGCCAAAATGTGTCCTGGGCACTTAGGCTCGAGTATTGCTTCTGCTCCTTTGTGACCGGCTGAGTGAGGAGGGCTGTCATCCAACACCCCCACTGCTACCTCATTTGCCGGGACTGGCGGGCCACAGGAGCATGAGGGGGCTGTCGATTCGCTTTTCTGTGGCGTTGTTATCTTCCCGCTGGAAATGGCCGCTGCCTCGCCGCAGCCACCACACCTTCGCCCTGCACCTCTGCCCCCATCGTTCAGTCGTGCCACGATGTGTACCAGCCACTAGACTGGAACGCTGCCTCTGCCCGTCCGGTCCTCTCTGGGCTGATGAGCGACTGCTGCAATCCAAACCTCCACTGCTACTGCCCCTCCTGGGGCCACCGTGGGCGCCAGACTGCATCTGTGGCTTCCGTCTCTGTCCTTCCCTCGTCCACCCTGCCCTGCTCGGTCTCATGCACCCACCTTCAGGTGTCTCGATGTGCGGATCTCTCACACGTGTTTGTGTATTGAGCAGGGAACCCTTCGTTGAATGATAGTTGTTTGGCTTGTTGTAACTTTAAGGGAGAGACTGGGATGTCTCCTCCTGCCACCATGCTGCTGATGTCACTTTCTCATTGGTATCGGTGCAACCTCTGCGTCCAGGTTTAGCTCTATCTATTTTTCCTGTGTGCGTAGTTCTAAGAAGTATAGTCATCTGATTTCTGGCCAGATTTAAAAAACGGCAAATAAAAAGCCAAGAGATGAGGGCAGGCAAACAGGCAACTCTAAGAGGCAGCAGCTGGGGCCGATGTCAGCAATGTTAACTCTAAAAAAATGAACATAAACACACTGGTACCTCCGGGGGCTTCTGCTGCCCAGCCTTGCCCCAGGATCTCCTGATCTCCCTACAATCCACCAACTAAAGGGTTAACTCCTGGCAGAGCAGGGGGCGTCTGCACCCTGCCACAGGGCTGTCTCACTTCTGTTCTGATTGGCCACGCCCTGGCCTTATGGATGTTAATAATTTGAATATCATCCACGAACATAGGTGCACATTGCTTTCATAACTGAGTAAGCTAGCTAACTTCCCTTCCCCTGACCCTATATCTGATATAAGAAGGAAAAAATGAAAGTTAAGGGCCATCTCATGTGGGGAGAAAAGTTATATATAGTTGTAAGCCCAGTGGGCACCAATATATTACAATACAGGATAATAATTAACTTTCATATAAGTGAGCCTCGGTCGTTAAGAAAAGTTTAATTATATTCAGCTTTATCTATTTAAGGAAGCAGGCAAGAGCATAATAAGTTTTAGAAGTTTTCATCTAAAATGGACTAAATGTCTTGATGTTTGTATAGAATTGAGCCTTTAACCACCTGGAAAACTCACTTGTTCATAATGACTTGTTCTTCAGGATTCCAGAGCAGGACCTGCCGAATAAAATAGAACAATGTCCACTCTGTCTTACTTACAGCCAAAATGTATATATTCTTGTGTAGCCAGATTCATTCTTCTATGCCAGTCTTGTATAAACCCGAGCATTGGCTCCCCTGGCTGCCTCCACACTCATCTGGGCTGGTCACCCTTCCCCGTTCACGTGGGGTGACCAAGCCTCCGTGCTCGCCTGGGCTGCTTCCCTGTTTATCTGGGCTGATGGTCTTGCCCTCTTTTTTTTTTTTATTTTGCCTTTATTTGTTTTTTATTTTTTATTTTTTTTATTTTTTATTTTACTTAAGTGGGCCTTTGTCTTGGAGCTGTGGTGGCACCAAGGAAGAACAAAAGCTCATTTCTCATTTCTGACATTATGTTATGATGAAAATGGCATGCTTGTCAGCTCATCTCAGACGGTCGCTCTAACCGTAGGCCCCAGGAAAAATAGTTTAGAATGAGATACGACCTTGATGAGCTGCAGATGCGGATGATTGGTTCAGAGTCTAATGCAACACACTAAAACGAAACAAAACAAAACACCCAACCCAAACCAAGCAACGTGCTTTGCAAATAGAAACAGGAGGAAACTGACGTTCAAAGTTAATGGAAAATTTTAGGTTCAAAGAAGATGGCGAGTTAGAAAGTGGAGGCAACAAGAAAATGTGACCTCACCTGGTCCTGTGTGGATGATGTCGTTGGAATTTGCTACACAGGAGAGGGAGGGGACCCTCTTTCTTTAGCAAGGTGCCATCGTTAGCAGCTGGGTCTTAAACTTTATGGGCCTGACTGGTCTGATTGCTTTATTAACTTAATTACGCACCCTCACCGCCCATTATCAACATTAGCTAGTTGCACAGATTTCCAGAATCTTGCCTGAGCCAAAGATATGGAGAACCCAGAGCAAAGCCACAGGCCTCATGGATGACCCATGTGCAGTCGGCTCCATGGTGGGGGGGTGAGGGGGTGAAGGGGCGCGTTGCTAACATTACAGACTCACAAAGGAAACCCTGCACTTACTGTGAGGACTTGGTGGGGTGATGAAGGCATCAGGGCTCCCCGGGCATCCTAGAGTATGACCTGCGGGACAGTGGGGCCCCCTGGGACATGGAGGGAGGGAGCCGTTGGTCATGGGACACTCTCCTCCCCAGCATGGGCTTGTGGGTCTCGCCCCGGGAACCCTCCTTTCTCTGAGCATCTGTGTCTGTCTCCGGGCCCCGCCATGGCCCTTCCTTCCTCCTGCTCTGCGCAGTTTCCCTGCTGCGTGGCGAGGTCGACTCAGCTCCTCCTCACTCCAGCTTCCCTTTGCACCAGTGGATCCAAACCTCCCAGCTGCCGCCACACCATGACCTTGCGGGCTCTACCTGCAGCTTCCTAATTTTTTCCCCCGATTCTTAGGGAAAACACTCAGGTAGCTCAATATGTGTCATCCTGGTAGTCGGATGTCGGGGGTCCCTGCCTGTCTAAAGGTCGATGCCCATCTTTGCTGTCCTCAGTGAAGACGAGGTCTAATGGCGTTTCTACAAGGTGGCTCTTTAAGCAGTGCTGGGGCCAGCAGGCAGGGTGGAACCTACTAAGCAAAGGCTGGAGAGTAGATCTCTAATTCCTAAAAATGTGGGCAAGAGTCGGAGAACGAGTCCTTCATTTTCGCCTCCAGTTCTCTCACTAACGGGCCAGGTGACAGCGATACATCACATCCTTTCTCCACAGAATAAGGGGCGTGAATAGATAATAATGCCACTGGCCGCGTACTAGCCGTGGCTCCAAGTACTACAGGCACATTCGTTGTTGACTCTCAGGGGAGAGGTGCATCACCAAATCCTATTACAGGTGGGAAAACTGGGGCGCAGAGTGGTCGAGCAACGTAATAGATGTTGCCACTGAACTCGGTCAGTCTGGCTTCTGAATCCTCGCTTTTAATCATGCTCAGTTCATGCTGCCACATCAGCATCCCTCAGGCTCCAGAGGAAAGGCGGCAATGAGCTGAATGACGCTGGGGTTCAGCTCCGTCTTCCAGAACAGCATCTGGCCAGGGTGGCAAGCATCCCGCAGGAAAGCTGCTGCCCTTTGCCCGTGCCCTCTCTGAAGGGTATGAGAAATGCCAGCCTGTCAGCAGGTATCAACTCAAAAACTTCTCCTTCAGCTAAGTTCAAGGACTGTTTACCCAAGTGGGCAGAAGCGGATTAGGCAATCCGTTGATGTGACATGTTCCATTCGTTTGGGTGTGACCAAGTATACCGCAGCTGTCAGAACAAATGCATTTCTTGGGGAAACAGGGGTGACCAGGCCAGCCCGATGGGCCAGAGGCACACCTTGGGTGGTGGCTCATGAGCTGGGGCCCCAGGGTTAGTCACTGAATTTGGAGTGAGGATAGGAATGTGACGACCTTCAGTTAGGGTTCCATTTCATGCCCAAATGTGAGGGCAGGCCATTTCCCAAGGCGCCGTGGTGACTGGTGACAATTGCTGAGATGGGAAATACCAGGCAGAATCTGGCTAGGGATGGCAGACCCTGGGGGTGCCCCTCACCAGACCCCAGCGCTCCGCTGGCCAGGAGCAAGGACACAGGAAGTGCCACTAATCTAGGGAGGCCTCCCCATCCTGTTTCCCTCTGCCTTGGGCCTTTTCCCTTTCTGGTGTCACTTGTCCACAAAGGCTGCCCTTTGTGGCCCTTCAAGTGAGTTTTCATAAGTTAAGACATCAAACAACTAAACCCACGGGCCAATGGGATGTGGCCGCGCTGTCTGCGACCGGGCAAGCACACGCCCCCTCACCCGCGGGCCTGCTGAGAAGGGCCTTGTGTTCTTGTGTCAGTGGGCGCAGCGAGGGTGGGTCAGCCAGCCAGACCTGGCCACGGGCCATTGACGGTTTCTGAGCCTTTAAAAGAAGAGCTCCCCCGAGTCTGTCCCAACTGCAGACCTGCAGCGGCACCATGACCCCTCTGCTGACACTGCTGCCTCTGCTCCTCCTGGGGGCCGTGGCCCAGCAAGACTCCAAGTGGACGTACTCAGGTAAGCCCCCACTCGGGGGCCGCGAGTCCCCTTGTCACCTTCACCGTGAGGAAGGGAGCACCTCCCCCTTCCCGAGGGGCACGGCGAAGCCTGGCATTTCACGGGGTGCGAGGCCAGCCACCCACGATGGTGTGCCATTCCCAGGCTGGGGTCTACCCGTCTCAGGCTCCACGTCTTGGGGTGTACAGAGGATACACTGGACTCAGACCTCGATTAAGGAAAGGAAGAGCTAGCTGTCCCCTCCACAGGCCCCTGACGCCCTTGTAGCTTTTTGCTTTAAAACCCTTTCCGCCCGCGGTGCTGGTTTGGGAGCCCGCTCACTGCTCTGACGGCAAGGCCATTGCTCTCGGGGTCCGTGTAAGCGGGGAGTAGCTGGAGTCTTGCAGCGCGTGTGTGGGACTGGCGAGCGCGTTCTTCAGAGCCACGTGTGATACCTGGTTTAACCAGAACGTCTCGGCTTGCGGAGAACCCGGTGACCTTTACCTAGGCTCCAGGCTGCCATTGCATCGGGTGATTGCCACCGACCCGCTGACACTCAGATCTGTATGTCACCAAAACTCAACTTTTAAATGTGAGATTGGCGTTAAGCGTGCGTTCTGGCCCGCGTGTGAGCCATAGGCGGGAAGGCCACATTGGAAGACCACGTCTGAGGGGTTCGCACGCGAAGCAGCCCTTCCGTGTGGCAGCGGAGAGAGCTCCTGCCTGCGCCCCCTCTTCTCTGAGCTGCACCGGGGGACGGGGCCCCGGGGGTCAGAGCCGGGAAGGATGCTCACGTCTGCCGGCCGACACAGGAGCCAGGAGCGCTTGTGGTGCGGGGCCCCTCCGCACAGTCCTTCTGGCCTCGGCCACGGGAGAAGTGTACACTCAGGGTGGCTGTATGTCCTGTCGAGTAAAGGGCAACAGGATTAGGGACGTCGCAGGGAAGCTCAGAAAGTCGGGCTTCAGGGAGCAGGACGGCCGACTCTGGCCGACAGGGCCCACACGTGGTGGTGCCGGGCAGACCTGGGCTTCTGCTTCACGCGCCCGCTGGCCCCGGAGTGAGGGGCAGGAGGAGCGGATGCGGCTGAGACCAGGAGGTGGGTCTCTGGAAAGCCACCGGGGCCCGGGAGAACTTGGGCGGTAGTAGCTCCTGCAAGTGCCTTCCAGGAAGCCTTGAGGAACCCCTCAAGGCTGGCAGAGTCCTGGCCAAAGCCTTTTGATCCATGAAGGGACTGTGCTTGAGACCTTGGCCTTGATCCTGGCCTCTGCCTCCAAGAAAGAACTGTTCAAAAATTGGTTTGTATATTAAACAGAGAATAGAAGGGCAGAACTGACTTTCCTATTGGTTGCAAAGCTAAGAAGCTGCACGAGTCCCAGATACGAGCATCTCTCTTAAAACAAGCTGTGCCCGGGGGGAAGGAGAGCTTGGATTCCCTGTCACAGGCGGGAGAGACCAGGACCCACAGCTGTCTGGGGACCGAGTCACCCATGATCATGACTTGCTTTCATTAAAGTCATTTTTGATTAGTAAGATAAATTTCTTTACTTTGGACTTTACCGTACTGGGAACCAACTGAAAGGGGCTGGAGCAAGAACACAGGTGGGCGGTCCAGCCGCAGCGGGATGGAGGGGGAGCTGTGTTACTGTTGGAGGCTGGGAGGGAAAGGAGCTAAAGGCCCCTGAGTGCCACACCCAAGGAGCCCCCAGTACATTTATCAGCTGACAGTCACCCAAAGGGAAAACTAAAGCGATGCATCGAAGACTTTTATTGCTTTCAAAATACGTCGTGTTCTCAGAGCCAGTGGTTACAAGGGTACAGGTCGGGGTCAGCACCCAAGCCCAGACACCAGGGTCCGTGGCGTCGATTCAGATGCCCCTCCCGCCTCCTTCTGAGGCCCCACTTCCGCTTCCCAGACGGCAGACCTCTGGCCTTGAGCCTGGCATCCGGCCTGGCCCCGCCGGGCAGGCCTGCATCCTGAGTGAGCTGCTCGCAGGGAGGGCTCCTCCAGGCCCCCCCTCCAGCTGTGTCCCCTTGGCTCTCTCCTGTCTCAGATGAAGCGCACTGGTCCGAAAAGTACCCCGCCTGCGGGGGGAACAGACAGTCACCCATCAACTTGCAGGCGAGGAAGGTACGATACGACCCCTCGCTGAAGGCCCCGCACTTGACTGGCTACGAGGCCCAGGACGGCAAGTTCCTCATGACCAATGTTGGCCACACAGGTAAGGGGTGAGTCACAGGTTCTAACCAGGAGTGGCTGGTGGAGGATCCAGAATTCAGCCTGGGAGCTGGAGGCCGCCAACGTGATGCTTGACAGGTGTGCGGGCCTGGAAACCCAGAAGCTCTTTCAAAGGTGCCCGGCCTCTGTCTCGAGACTGGCACCTTCAGCCCCCACCACCTCTCCCAAGCTCACTCTGACCCTACCGGCGGCGGGAGAGTCAGCTGGCAGAGCCGCGGCGCCGAGAAGCCGCTTGGCCCACCTGCCTGCTCTCTCTGGCCCTGGTCCAATTTTCTGTTTTCTCTGTTGAGTGATGAGCCCCAAGTACCTGACCAGTAGGCCCAGTATTTCTCAGAGGTCTGAAAGAAGCTCTTGTTTTCTGTTCTGTCCTAGAAAGGGGGTGAAGGTCAGACAAGGAAAGCTGGATCTTGGGGAACCCCACTTCCAGTCCAGAAGCCTGGACTGGAAAATGGGAAAATCCATGCTTCATGTTTGCAGAACTTCCTGGAGGCTGGAAGCCTATTCCTTTGGGGTCTCCGCCCTGCCCCTCAGCATATCAAACATATTAGAAAGCACTCACACTTCACATTATTATTATTTTTTTTTATGTATTTTGGAAAAAAAATTTTTTTGCATTTTATTTTATTTTATTGTGTGAGTATACGGTACATTGGTTAGACATTTGGGAAATTTTTTAAAATAAAAATTAGCTTTTGAGGTTATTTGGCTACTCTTTACAATTGGCTATATGTTTTCAGCAAACTCCAAGCACATTCAGGAATTTTACTAAAGGAAAAAAAAAGAATCTACACATTTGGAAATCTAATGAAGTTTTCATGAATACTAAGTTCAACAATATGATGTAATTAAACATTTATTAATTTCGACTTGCAAGGTCCTTTTTTATAATTTAGAACCTAAGATATAAATATATATTTACATATTTCTATATTATATTATTATTAATAATTTAACAGATTTTATTTTTTAGAGCAGTTTTAGGTTCAGAACAAAATTGACTGGAAAGTATAGAAATCTCTCAAATGCCTCCTGCCCACTACACGCACGAGTTACCCCATTATAAACATCACTCATCAGAATGGTACCTTTTTGTTTTTTTCTTTGCCGAGAATGAACCTACATTGACACATCATCATCACCCAAAGTCCATAGTTTCCTGTAGGATTCACTCTCCGTGTTGTACATCCCATGGGTTGGACAAATGTATAATGACCTGTATGCATCATTATAATACCATGTACAGTGTTTTTACTGCCCTAATTATCCTCTGTGCTCTCCGTCCACCCCAAGCCCTGGCAATCACTCATCTTTTTCCTGTCTTCATAGTTTTGCCTTTTCTGGAATGTCTCATTAAGTGGAATCATACAGTATGTAACCTTTTCAGATTGGCAACTTTCACTTAGTAATATGCATTTAAGATTCCACCCTGTCCTTTCATGGCTTGATAGCTCATTTCTTTTTAGTGCTGAATAGTACTCCATTGTCTGGGTGGACCACAGTTTATTTGTCTATCACCGACTGAAGGACATCTTGGCTGCTTCCAAGTTTTGACAATTATAAATAAAACTGCTATAAACATCCATATGCAGATTTTTGTGTGGACATAAATTTTCACCTCCATTGGGTAAAATACCAAGGATTTTGAATGGTATAGTAAGAGTATATTTAATTTTATAAGAAACTTCAAACCATCTTCCAAAGTGGCTGCACCATTTTGCATTCCCACCAGCAGTGAGTAAGAACTCCTGTTGCTGCCCAGCCTCTCCAGCATTTGGTATTGTCAGTGCACCTGATTTTTGGCCATTTTAATAGGTGTGGAGTGGTGTCTCTTTGTTGTTTTAATTTGTATTTCCCTGGTGACACATGATGCAGAGCATCTCTTCATATGTTTATTTGCCATCTGTGTATCTTCTCTGATGAGGTGTCTGTAAGGTCTCTGGCCCATTTTCAAACTGGGTTCTTTGTTCTCTTATTATTGAATTTTAAGAGTTCCTCGTATATTCTGGGTAACGGCCCTTTATCAGATGTGTAATTTGCAAATATTTCCTTTCAGTCCGTGGCTTGTCTTCTAATTCTTTCGATACCATCTTTTGCAGAACAGAAGTTTTTCCTTTTAACATACTCTATTTGATCAATTCCTCCTTTCACGGATTGTGTCTTTAGTGTATCTAACAAGGCATCGCCATACCCAAGGTCATCTAGATTTCCTCCTACGTTATCTTCTAGAAATTTTATAGGTTTGCATTTCACACTTAGGCCTGTGTTCCATTTTGAGTTAATTTTGGTGAAGGATGTATGGTCTGTATCTAGATTTATTCTCTTGCATGCGGACATCCAGTTGTTCGAGCACCATTTGTTGAAGAGACTCCATCGCGTTGCCTCTGCTCCTTTGTTAGAGATCGGTTGAGTATATTTGTGGGGTCTGTTTCCAGGCTCTCATTCTGTCCCACTGATCTATTTGTCTATTCTTTTACCGGCATCACGCTGTCTGGATTACTGTAGTCGGGTTGTAACAGTCCTCCAACTTTGTTCTTCTCCTTCGGTAGTATTGTGTTAGCTATTCTGGGGCTTTTGCCTCTTCGTTTAAACTTTAGAATTCTTTTATTTATGTCAACAAAATAACTTGCTGAGATTTTGACTGGGATTGCATCGACTCTACAGATCAAGTTGAGATGAACTGACATCTTGACAATATTGAGTCTCGCTATCCAGGAACGTGGAATGTCTCCATTTATGGAGTAATTTTTTTTATATCTTTCATCAGAGTTTTATAGTTTTCCTCATATACATCTTGTACATATTTTGTTTGGTTTATACCTATGTATTTAATTTTTGGGGGTGCTGATGTAAATGGTATTATGTTTTTCATTTCAAATTCTACTTTATATTTTTATGTGCCCCATTTTTATTATTAGATTAAACAGACACAAAATTACATTTTAATAAAAAGAAATTGAAAACATACGGAGGTATTGAAACAAATTACCACAAGAGTTTCTAAAGCTTATTCTCAATTTCTCTATTTTATTGTAGACTAGTATCAGTTGCTGGACTGTTAGTATACGTATTGTTAATTCTCCCAAAGATATATCATAGGCTCCAGAAAAACATAAAGGCCCGAGGTTCTGGGCTTCTAGTGTTCAGTGAGAAAAACGCTACTGTTCTCTCGATAGGTGCCATCAACCCCCCTCCCTTTGTTAGTTTCCTTGAGAGGCGGGGCCATGTCTCATTCTATCCCAGAGCCTGGCCCAGGGCCTGGCCTAGGTGAGACGCATTCAAGGGGACGAGACCTGCGTTTGAAAGGATAGACCCCCAGAGAGGCACTCAGGAGTGACGCAGTCCTGAGCAGGTCTGGATCTGTGACGGCTGCAGCAGCGAGGCTGGTTCCGCTTTTTTTTTTTTTTTTAATCTCTTATTTTGAAATAGTTTTAGACTAGAAAAATTGCAAAAATAGAACAGAGAATTCCCATACACTTTTACCCCACTTCCCCTAATATTAACATCTTTCCATCCTATAACCATACTACATTGGAACAACACAATCCACTACGCTATAGACCTCGTGCGAACTTCATTCCTTTCTCGTTGATGTTCTTCTTCTGGTCCAGGATCTAACCTGAGATCCCGCATCACACTTTCCTTCCTGTCTCCTCCGTCTCCTCCAGTTGGGGTCAGTTCCTCTCTTTCTTGGACGTTCACAACCTTGATTCCATGGTGTCACAACCTAGGAGGCTACACGGGGTGAGGGTTTTAACCACACGTGAGGAACATAGCGACCTCACCCTGGCCTTACAAACAGTGCTCACTCTGGGTAGTAAAAGTCATCAAAATAGTCTCAAGAGGCCCCGCTTCCTATTCCTACACTGTGGGAAAATTCTAAAGTGGCCAGAGGTGGAGATTGGAATCCTGGTTTCCACACCCATTGGCCATATCTTTTCAGATCCTTGACCTGCCCCTTTGCGGTCCTGTCCTTTTTGTTCTGGGTGGGAAGGTGTGTGCTTTGGGAGAGGCACCTGCCCAGCCCAGCTTACTCAGTGCCCGGTCCCCAGCACACTCTGTGTGTCAGGTGCCTCCCCTCGTTGGTGATCCTGCTCATGGCACTCGAAGCCAGTCTGCAGTGCCAGCCTGCCTGGGGAGGAGGCAGGTGACCAGGAAGGCTGCCTAACCGGGAGGCCTGACTGGTCCACGCCAACCTGCAGCACCCTTTGCCCCTTGTCTTCTCTTCTAGTGATGATCAGCCTGCCCTCCTCCATGCGCATGGTGGCCCCCGATGGCACCGAGTACAAAGCCCTGCAGATGCACTTCCACTGGGGTGGCGCGTCCTCCGAGATCAGTGGCTCTGAGCACACCATCGAAGGGATCAGATATGCGACAGAGGTACCTCGAGGACCCCGACCAGGTCCTCTGTCCTTCAAACCCTAGAGTCACTTTTCTTATTAAAACAACTGAAAAGACTTCGTGCGGTGGTGACAGTATTTTTTACTACCTTCGCAGCTATCACCGCTCTGTGCCGGGGGTTCAGGCAGGGTCCCCGTCCTTACAGAAGTCATAGCAAGGCAGGAGTTTACAGCCCACACAGTGGGGCAACATGTCTTCAGTTTCAGCTGGATTTCTATGCGTTAGATTTTCTGGGTTCCTCTCTTGCTTAGATTCGTCCTTAGGGTGACCATGGGTTTATGGTGGCCTCCTGGGGCAAAATGGCTCATGTCGCCACAGAGACCTCAGGAGAGCCCAGTGGCCTCATATGATCCCTCTGGATCCCACCAGCTTGTCTGCTTGGAGGGAGGTGGGGTCAGGAAAATGCCCTGGAATTGCCATTGTTCCAGAGTCCCCCTTGTGCCCTTTCCAGTTTGGAGAACTTTTCCAGTTTGGAGGACTTTCTTCCAGTCTGGAGATCTCACAGCTTAGATGGAGGGAAATGGAGGTGGGAGCTGTTTGTGTGGGACGGTCTGAGGCTCAGATGCAGCATCGTTGTTTTCTTCCTTTCCTGAAAACCTGAAGCATCCGAAGTCTCCTCGAATTGCCCTTGACTTACCTTTTCTTGCCCCCACAGATTCACATCGTGCACTACAATTCTAAATACAGTAGCTTCGATGTAGCCCAAAATGCACCAGATGGCTTGGCTGCGCTGGCAGTCCTCATTGAGGTAGGCTGAAACTATGCAGGCAAGGTTATAGATTGACATCCACTCTAGGCATCAAAAGTAGACGAGGGTCTTCCTTCCTGTCCCTCCTCATTCGTTCCCGAGGTCACAATTCCAGAGAAGAACGATGTAAGCTTCCCAAGAGGTGGAAAGTAAAAGGTGAGATCAACTTGAGAAGTGGATGAACTTTAAATATACTTCTCAACCTTCACCCAGATTCATCAGCAGAGGCTGCAAAAAGGGCTTCGGGGGTTTGAGCATAACCTCTGCTGAAAGTATTGACTGACGACAAAACAATGCTGACCCTAGTTTTGGCCCCTAGGAATCCAGGCTAAAAAATAAAAACTATATTTAAGAACTAAGCAGAGACAGAGACACTTAGATATAGAGAAAGAAAGGCCATGTGATGATGGAGGCAGAGATTAGAGCTGCTATCCACAGAACAGCAAGGATTGCTCGCAACAACCAGAAGCTAGGAATAGGCAAAGAGAGATCTTTCCTGGAGCCTTCAGAGAGAGAATGGCCCTGATGACATCTTCATTTCAGACTTCTAGCCTCCAGAACTATGAGAGAAGAAATTTCTGTTGTTTTAAGAAAAGCAACAGATAAATAAATTGAGTAGAGCTGAGATATCAGCTGCTACATAGTGCTGTGGAGACACATCCTGCAGATGAAGCACTGGCAAATCACTAAGCAGACAGACAGGCAGATAGACAGACACACCCAGGGCAAGTATAAAAATCCAGATTTGCTACCATTTATTACTTAAAATGTCCAGTTTTCAACAAAAAGTTGGGCACACAAAGAAATAGGAAAGTGTGATCCATATTTAGGAGAATAAAAGCAGTCAATAGAAACTGACTCTGAGTGGACCCAGAGTGATTAGCAGACAGTACTTTAAAACGACTATCGTGAATGTGTTCAAAGGATTAAAAGAAACTGTCTTCAAAGAATTAAAGGAAAATGTGATGACAATGATCCAAAAAGGGAGCTTCCTTCCTGTCCCTCTTTATATTGAGAGAAATGGAAACTATAAAAATGCACGAAATAGAAAGGCTAGAGCTGAAAAGTATAATAAACAAAATGAAAAAATTCTGCTCAAAGCAGATTTGAGGCAACATAAGAGAGAATCAGTGTATTTAAAGATATATCAAATAAATTATTCAATCTGAAGAGCACAGAAAAAAGACTGAACAAAAATGAACATAGCCTTAGAGACTCATGGGGACAAGATCACATATCCCAACATATATGTAATGGGAATCCCAGAAGGAGAGGAGAGAGAGAAAGTGGCAGAAAAAATGTTGAAGAAACAATGGCCAAAAATTTTCCAAATTTGATGAAAAATGTTAATTTACTGGTCCAAGAAACTCAACGAACTCCATGTTTGATAAACATCTAGACATATCAAAGTTGAATTGCTAACAGCATCAAGAGAAAAAGAATTCATTTTATATACAAAGTGACAGTATGATTGATGGCTGACTTCTCATTAAAAAGTCATCAGAAGGTGGTGGAATGGCTGTCAGCCAAGAAGCCCACATCCAACTAAACCACCCTTCGAAAATGAGGTGACATAAAGACGTTCCCAGATAGACAAAAACTGAGAAAATTGCTATCGAATCTGTCTTATAAGAAATATTTAATGAAATCCTGGCTAAAAGGAGATGACACCAGGCAGTAACTCAAATCCACAGAAAGAAATGAAGAGTGCCAGAAATGGTGAATAAACGGGTAAATATGAAAGACTGTATACATATTTTTTGTTCAAAAAAAATCCATAAGATTGCTTAAAACAATAATAATATCACTGTATTATTGAGTTTATAATATATGTAGATGGAATTATATATGACAAAAAATAGAAGAAAAGATAGGGAAGAATAGAGCTATAGTAGAGCAAAGTTGCTGCATTTTACTGAGATTAAGTTAGTATCAACCCAACATCAATTGTGATAAGTTGTATATTATACCCACTGGAGCAATCACTAAGAGAATAACTAAATGTGGTTAAACAGTAAACTACAAGTATTTGTTTAACATAAAAGGTGGAACAGAGGAACAAAAAAAAGACATGACATATTTAGAAAACAAATAGCAAATGGCAGTTATAAATCCGAGAAATCTGAGTTCATACGCAATGGAAGAAGCATTGGATCAACACCACTGACTGAAAAGAACCATTGAAAATAGACTGTTTTCACCAAAAGCAACTTCTCTGACTTTTGAAAGGTCGACATGCATATAGATAGATAGATAGATAGATAGATAGATAGATAGATAGATAGATAGATAGATCGATCTTTCCTCCTCCCAGCCAGGTCTTGACAGGGTCACTGGGGATATTTTAACAGTGGCTTTTGCCCATTCCCTGAGCATGTCACCGATTACCAAGAAGCTGCCCAAATGCTTCAGATCGTGTCTCCCTGGAAGAGACTGGTGAGCCCAGGCAGCTGGTAGCAAAGAACATCCAGATTGTCCCCTCAGCACAACGAGGGCATGGATAGTGACCTCCTTCTAGCCCTTGTGGCTCTGCCCAATCTGCCAGAACACCAAACAGATGGATTCATGGGGACAGAGCCAGAGGTTTCTTCCCCAGTTGACTTAACGGCTCGATGTTTCTCCTGCAGGTCAATGACTATGCTGAAAACACTTATTTCAGCAACTTTATTTCTCACTTGGAAAACGTCAGGTATCCAGGTAAGGGGAGCCAACAGTGGCTGCGGGAGGGAAGGAGAATGAGTGTGAGCATAAGGTGGGGACAGAAGGTGGGGACAGGAGGGCAGGCAAGGGTGGCACTGGCGGGGAGAACGGCGGATGAGCCCGTTAGGGGCGCGTCCCTCTGTGGGAGGGGTCCTGTTCCAGCGGTTCCTGCTCTTGGCTTAGGCCTTGAACACCTCCGAGAAACCTGATCATAGACTCTACCTGCTGATTGCCACGATTGGAACTTCTGGATGGCCAGAGTCCCATTAACTAGAGATATCCTCACTTAAGTGACTGTCACCTTTGGCCCCAGCTGGCATGATGATCCTGGTCGCTGGAGAGAGAGATTCTCCTTGGCTTCAAGCTGAGAAGACTCTCAAGAGTGAAGCCCCCATCATCATGCCTGGACACAAAGACACGGAGGATCGGGGCTGGTCTCCCTTCCCACTGCCGAGTTCCTGTCAGAGCGATTGTCTGCTCCCATAGTCAACCCTTGACCTTGAGCAACACCCGTGTCAGCCTCGAGGCCTTGGTTTTGTGCATCCCACTTTGGCCTCATCTCCCAGACTCCAGCCCCCTGACTTCTGTCTTTACCCCTTCCCCAGTTCTCCTGACCTCTAATGCACGGGCCTCCGTGTTCTCTCTACTGCGCAGGCCTCGTGCCCTTCATCTCTCTTTCCTTAGCTTAGGGTTCACATGCTCACCAGCCATCGTTCTGACATGCCCGGATAAACACCCTCCATGGCCTCACCCTGCAAAGCCCCAGACCGTCTCCCACCTGCTCAGAGCCTGTAGCCAAATGGCTGAATGTGGCTAGACAGAAACACAGACATCTAACTGATATTTTTATTCCTAGCTATGAATGTCAATAAGTACTAATGCTGCCTGGAAATCCTGAAATACTCCTCTGGGTGTCTGCTTTTCCCCCTCTCCAAAATTATTCCTTAACATTTTCCCCTCTTTCCTGCAGCCCCTTTGCCCTGGCCTCTGCTTCTCCCTTGGAGCAGATGTCTTGCATCCCACTTCATCAAGAAGGAACTCACTCAGCTTCTTAACATGCCGGCACCTGACCAAACTCCACGTCGCCTCCTCCGTTACCACGGAGAAAAAGTCCTTCTCCTGTCCAAGACAGCCCTGCCTGCGACCCCGCCCCTTCTCATCCTCGGCCTTTTCTCCTGCCCCTCCCGCCTCTCTCCTGCAGCACTGATTTCTTCCTCTTCATTGAATCTTTCTGCTTAGCACACAATTCTGCTCTAATATCTGCCCCCTCAACACACAAACAAAAGTATCTCTTGGCCCCATCGTTCCCCCTGCTTCCTCCATGTTGCTTTGATAGTCTCAAGCTGAGCTCAGGGGCCCAGCAACACTGATGTGAATGAAAGAACCGTCTAGACGCAGCGATGGGTGCAGGCGCTCGGAGGTTTGAGATGCCCCCCGTCCGTCCCTCTCCTGCCCCTGCCTGTGGCTGCGCTCGGTTCCCAGTGGGCGTGGCAGGAAGAGTTTTGGACCAGATGCCTGAGCCTAGGCCCCCGCTTGGTTCTGATTCTGCCTTTCTAATCTCTGTACTCACTTCTAAATGAGCTCGAACCAAGGAGTGTTGTTCTTTCTTTGAGGGCACTTACCCAGAAGCCCGCAGGAGTCATAATTGGTTTGTTAAACTTATCATAAGACGTATCCTCAGCCTGACAGTGACAATGATGAGATGACAGTCACACTCACAAGTACTTTCCTGTGTGCTGGGTCAATGTATTTGACAAACCCGTTCCCCTTTACCCTCGCAGCAACCCTACTGATTATTCCCATTTCGCAGATGAGGAAGGAGCCTCATGGGAGAGAGTGTCTGGCCAGCCACTCGGTGGGAGGGTGCAGTACCTGAGCAGGTCTCTCCCCAAAGTCTTCACTCTTCACCACTCCCAGGAAGCGGCAAACTGGAGAGATATGTCTCAATAATCGGCTTCCATGTTCTTCTGCTTAAGTCAGCGGAACGGAATGTGGTGAGGTCAAGACTGAGCTGTCTTCTCGAGGGGCAGCGGCTGTTCCTAACATCCCTTTATCTCTTGTTCCCTCTGTTAGGACAAAGCACGGTTCTGAACAGGCTTGACCTTCAGGACATGCTGCCCAAAAACCTTCACGACCACTACAGCTACAAGGGGTCCATCTCAACTCCTCCCTGTACCGAGAACGTGCACTGGTTTGTGCTGGCAGATCCCATCAAGCTCTCCAAGGCACAGGTAATGCATGGTGTCACTTCACCGAAGTCCCCCCTTTTGACTTCCTGGTTAACAAGAGCACTCCCCCAAATCTCACCTAATGCCGACACCTGGGCTCCCGTGGTGTTTTCCACGTGCATGGCTGCTTTGCCTCACCTACGCTGCTGTGGGCGATCTTACCAGTGCTGTGGCAGGGATGGGCAAACGGGCATCGGGGACCTGAGGAACCATCGCTGATGTAGCAAAAGGACGGAACTCCAGGTCGGAGGGGAAGAGTTGAGCGCTGCTCTTGTTGTCCCTGTCTAGGCCCTTGACATGCAAAACCCTGTCCTCGTGGAGCTTCCATTCTAACTTCATAAACGGACGTACGCAAGAAGGATAGCTTCACATTGAGCTCTTTACGTGCTAAAATACCTGTAGCCCTTTGAGGAGATGAGCTGTATCAATCATCTTTTGTCCTCCAGCATAATACATAAATATTTGTTGAGTTAGACAAAGCAGGGGTCCCCAGCTCCCGGGCCGTGGACTGGTGTTGGTCTGTGACAGCAGGCCGCACAGCAGGAAGTGAGTGGCGGGCGAGTGAGTGAAGCTTCGTCTGTATCTGCAGCTGCTCCCAGGCACCAGCATCACCGCCTCAGCTCCGCCTCAGATCATCAGGGGTTAGATTCTCATAGGATCACCGGTCCCTGGTGCCACACAGGTTGGGGACCACCGAGATAAAGGACAAATGCAGTGAGGTTGCAAAGCAAAGCCGATGTTTACTTCTGGGTGATGTTCTTCTTCAGAAACAGATATTTCTTTTCCTACTCCAGGAAAAGGTGGAAAGCCCCCTAGTCAAGGATACATACACAGAGAAATGTTCGAACCAAGTTGGAAGTGCCCCCAGATACCTAGCAGAAGCAAATGTAAATTATCTCTGGAAAAATGCACCTTAAATCCAGATATTGAAGAATTTCCACAAGTAAAGTTATTTGAAATTAGCTCGATTTAAAAAAATTACAAAATACCCAAGAGAAAAGACACTATGAGTAAATATCAACAGAATCAAACCTACAAAGATTTCAGATAGTGAAATTATCAATTAATATAAAATAAGAATGTTTAATATGTATAAAATGTATAATATGTATAATTAAATATATTTAGTATATTTAATATGTATAAGAGCTTTCAATATGAGAAAAGAATAAATAAAGTATAAAAATGACCAAATAGACTTGGAAAAACACTATATAGAATTTCTAGAAATGAAAAGATAGTAACTGAAATTAACAACTCAGTAAATGAGTTTAATAGCATGTTAGATACAGTTCAAAAAAGAATTGGTAAACTGGAAGACAGAGCTGAGAAAATTATCTAAAATGCAGCACAAAGAGAAAAAGAGATGGAAATAGAAAAAGGAAGAAAGGAGACATAGAGAATATAGCGGGAAGGTTCAACAAGTGTCTAATTGAAATTCTAGGGGAAGAGAGGTAGCGTAGAGAAGAGGTACAATTTGAGAAACATTGGCTGACAATTTTCCAGAAGAGTTGAAAGATACCAAGTCATATATTCAGTAAGCCCAATGAGGCAATGTAAATTAAAGATAAAAATCCACATTAAACACATCACAGTGAAACCACAAAACATCAAAGACAAAGAAAAGATTTAAAAATCAGCTACAGGGGAAAAACAAATGATTGTGAAAAGCGTACTATTAGACAGAGAGCTGATTCAGCACAGCAACAATGAAAGCCAGAAAGCCATGGAATCATATTTTCAAAGCACCTGCCTCTTCACCTGTGATGGAGCGCACCCTCATTCTGCTGATCTAGAATTGTGCACGCAGCAAACATTTCTTTCAAGGATATAGACAAAATTCAGATATTTTCAGAAAAATGAAAATTGAGCTTGCTACTTGACATATCTCTGTTTACTTCTTTCTTTCCTTTCTGCTCAGAGAAAAAGATTAAATGAGATGTTTGGAAGAATAAATAGAAGAATGAATGGATGAATAAATGCATGCTCTGAAATGTGCTCTGCCTGGCCCATAGCACCCAGAACCTCCTGAGGATTTGTGATCTCACAACGAAATCCAAGATCTAGTTCAATTTCTAATGAAACCTTTTAAAACCACCCAGTGCCTCTTCCCCTCCATAATTCACTTCGTGTTGCCTGCAGATCTGGAAGCTGGAGAACTCCCTGCTGAATCACCAAAACAAGATCCTCCAGAACAATTACCGTCTAACCCAGCCCGTAAACGGCAGGGTGGTGAAAGCCAATTTCAAAAAATCACCCTGATCACTGTGAGTAAGAGCGACACCCATTTATTCTTCACGATTTGTGGACTCCTGTTTTCTTCTTCTTTCTCTGGGTAAATCCATCTCTTCTGGCATTAGAAAGAGAGGGGAACCATCTAAACAGCAGGAGACTCAGAAAGACCAATCTGAGCAGGGCTCGGGTGATGGGGATGACACGTTTCCCCAGTCCTGGCAGTGATGTCGGTGAGTAGAACAGAGAGGCCATCAAGGATGGGTGACTGTATGATATATTACCTACCTGGTCTTGGCCAAAAATAATAGGAGAAACAAGACGTCAGCTTTTGGAAAAAAAGATGTTCCGATGCTCCTCGAAGAGCGTAGGCTCAAGTTAACCTTATTTAATCCAATTCACATCAGTCTCCACACATTTTCATCTTGGTCTGTCTGTACTACGAGCCCACCCCCAACTCCAGTACATTCCCTCAAGGTGTAGTTAACCAGACCATGTGTCCTTTACTATATTTTTGGGGGGATCGAGCCCGGACACCAGGGCACTGGAAGTAAGTAGAGGCAGTCCAGCTTCCCCTGGAATTATGAACCCATTGGGTCGGGTTCCAACACCTCCTTTCTGTGGTTGCAAGGATGTAAATATTCTGTAGTTCTCCCATCTTCATTTTTTGCCTGCTTCTTCGTCAACTTGTAGTGAACCATACGCATTCCCTGAATTTATTGTCTTTACGATGTATTTCTATCAACCATTCTTGACACCTTTGCATCCTCTAACACAATAGAATGGCTCACCAATCAATATTACCCCAGCTTTATATGTATTTTTCAAGATTTTTAAGTGTCTGTGCATACTCCAGCCCCCTCACAACAAAATAAAGGCCATTTGTGCTTTCTCCCCATCTTTCCTGGCTCATTGATTGTTCTCTCTTGCATGAGGTTTCTCCTCCAATACAATACTAAGAGAGAAAAATGATACCAGCTATAATTATCCCCATATACTATATATGATATTAACAGTAACAATTCCTTTTCTCAAAGGGTGACACCTGTTGGATTTCTGATTAAAACAGCGGAAACTATCATCCATGAAAATGAAGTAAGATGGTTTAAATGTGTGAGAAGAGGTATGAGTTAGACACACTGATGGAAATTGATTGAAACAGAAATTTAAGGGCTAATTATCCTCCCCTCCAGTCATGCACATTGATCTTTCTAAATCATAAACCAGCCTAAACTCTGTAGCGTTTAGATGCAATAAATTACTTTGCAAATTCATCATTTAAGAATTTCTCTTTTCTATTCCTTTGTACCACTTCAAATAATCCTTTCTTGCCCTACCCCAAGGGACCCAGGTGATGGGACAGAGATCAAGGTGGGAGGTATTTTTAGGACCGAGATGAAGAAAAAAGCAGTATTAATCAGCTGAAAGCATGAGCTAGTACAGGAAGAGATGACCTTCCCCTGAGCCCACGCCCTGCCCTGTATCTGGAAAATTCTGTGTGTCCAGCTGTGGTTTGATCAACTGGGACAAGGTTGAGAAGTACCCAGCAGAATGGCCATTATTTGTATTGGTCGGTTACATGTATCCTTCATCGAGGCCCCATCCTTAACCCACGCTTCACCTGCCTCTTCACCTGTGATGGAGCGCACCCTCATCCTGATGAATTCCTGGATCTCCTGTCATTACTACCTTTGCTCTTCCGTCTTGTTATTCAGCGTGTCCAAAGCACTTTCACGTCTGACTTCATTCGCCCCTCAAGGCGATTCTCAATGAAGCAGCATCATCCCCAGTTTACAGACAAAGAAAGCAAGAGGCAGGAAGGCCGGCTGACTTGCCTAAGATCTCTCAGGCAGTAGACAAGAAGGCCAGGGTCTGAACCCTGGTCTTCTGTATCCCAGTTCTTTGAACTACAAAGGGCTTCCTTTTCGTTCATTCGGCAAGCTTTGGAAAGCACCTGCTACGTGCCAGACGTGGGGCTAAGGACTGGGGTATGGAGATGGGTGTAGAGCTCAAGGCCAGCAAGCAGCACAGACATTTAAATAACCGATTGCCCTACCGTGGGGAGAACAACTGTTTACAACCTCCACAGAGGGGCTGGCGCTTGGCCTGGGTTTGGAAGGCTAAGAAGTTCACCTGGTGAGCCAGGTGCGGGAGGGGCGGGGGTGCTGCAGGCCGACGGCGCCTGTCGATGGGAAACACGCAGGGAAGTGAGAGTAGCTCGGAGGGCCCAGAGCGCCGGGTTCGAGGCAGCTGGCCCACACTGGCAAAAACTTTAAAGTCTGACACCACCGTGTACTGCTGAGGACGTGGCACAATCTTCGACCACTGCCTGTAGGAGTGTCAACTCCGAAAGCGGCGTGGTTAATACTTCATAAAACGGAGCATGCGCAGATCCGGTAACCCAGAGCCTTGCACAGATGCGTCAGAAACAAAAATGTTCGAGTCAGCATTACCTGTAATTGAAAAATATGGGAAAAGCCTAAATGTTAGTCAACCGGATAATGTAAAATAACCAGACCGGGAAGTAGTAAAGGCTTAATGAACCGGAGCTGCACATGTCGACATGGTGGAAGCCACGAGCTGGACGCTCAGCAGCAAAAGACAGCCAGTCGCTGGAGAAACGTACCGAGTAATTTCACTTATAAAAAGTTGAACAATGACAATATTTACCTACGTGTATAATTTTAAGGTGGCAGAGTGTGTAATAAAGGTGATTCATAAGACAAAGATCAAATTCAGAATCGTGGTTGCGTGCATCGTGAGAGAGAAGGCGGGGATCACAGCCTTCCAGGGTCACTGACTGCTCCAAGTGGGTGGCGGATACATGGGTGGTCATTACTCTTTATTAACTGCCGCTTATTCCTTTTAAAATATGAACCAATCACATCACTTCCCTACTTAAAACCCTCCAATGGCTCCCCGTTACACTGTGAACAAATTACAAAGCCCGAGCTGTGGTCTACATCATTTGGCCCCTGGCTACTTCCTGGACACCATGTTACCCCTCTCCCTTTGGCTCACTTAGCTCCAGCCGATGTTCTTTGACATACCTCAGGGCCTTTGCACGTGCTGTTCTCACTGCATCGCATGTAGGGCACAGGCTCCTGCTCTTTCTTGCTATGCTTCTCTATCCACAGCATCACAAAAGCCACCAGACCATCTTCTGTTTTGCCCTAGCAATTGACAGGGAGCTTGAGATGACCCTGGCTCCCTCGGGGAACGCCATGGTGGGCTGCTTCTTCACCGTTTTGCCCTAAACTGGGATTCCAAGGCTGGGCCCATCACCCTGTGACCCTAATCAGGGAAGGCTCATGTGCGGGTTGAGGGAAGACGTTGCAGAATGGCTCGGGAAGGGTGTGCTGTGTGGGAGGGAGGGCCTGTCATCCCAGGCGGAATCGCAGTGGCCTCCAGAATCCTCTCCAATGGGTCCTGGGCTGGATGAGCCACGTGCTCACTGCAGCCTCCCTGGGCCCCTGACAGAGGCAGCCACCAGCCCAGGGCAGGGGCACGGCTCCGGGTGCAGCGGGTAAGGCTGGTGGGGGCTCTGGGATGTGCCAGGCGGGAATCAGGCTCAGCGCTGCCCCAGCCTCCAGGGACGTTTTAACTACAAGGGTCATTCACATTGATATTCTGCTTCGAAGCTTTCGGGAAGTTCCTACATGACACATCTCATCTTGAGCCTCGCGGCAGTGCCATGAAGTGGGGACCCTATCCCCAGATTAGAAATAGGGAAACTGAGGCCCAGAGTTCCTCGGGGATAGAACTGGGATTTGAGCTCAGGGCTGAGATGCCAAGTGTCCCCACTGCCGTGCGATCCTCCCTTTGGGGTGGGCAATGCTCCCGCCAGTGTGACAAAGGGGCTCTAATGGAGTCATTGCCTTAGTGTTTACAAAACAGCGATGAGCACAGAACACCCGAGTCTCTGCCTTGGACAAACCATTGTCGTGCCCTGCACTTGTCACAGACCTGTGAGGACACCTGTTCCGGAACTCACAGCTCACAGGCTCCTTAGCACTAAGAGTGGCTCTCACGGAGGGCCGAGGCTTAGGGGTGAGACTGTGGGAGGCTGCTGTCTGTTGGGGTGGTGGGGGGGAGCAGCCAGAAAGCTGCTGGTGTGACCAGAATCTTGTTCACGCAGCGTCTCCTGAGGCTATAACACAGCGAGCACTGTGCCGGGCAGGCTCCCTGCTCCTGGAGGTCACGGTGGGTGGCGGAGGCGAGGGCGCCTGCTTGTCAGGTGAGCTGTGAGCGTGTGAGGGTCAGGGACCAGCGGGGCTTGCTGGCACAGAAGGAGAAGGTGGGGAGGTCGAGGCAGGTGCGGTAGCAGGAGCGAGTCAAGGGCCCGAAGCCGGGATTGTCTGTTTGGAAGGTGTTTGCAGCTGCCCGGTACTGGCCACCCCGCCCGCCAGCCGAGCTTGGAGATTTGGCCTCCGCCACTGTCCACGGCTCCCTGGGGGAGCAAGGGACAGCCATCCTGCTGGAGACCCCTTGGGGACAGCAGAAGGGAGAGGAGAGAGTCCCCCTGCGGGGGGGGACAAGGAAGACGGGCACCCAGGGAGGTGACCAAGAAGGTGACCGTCTAACTTGCAACACCTAAGGGTAAAAAAAGTTCTATTAAAGTTTTAAAACTCTAGTAAATATTAGCCCATTGTGCTTGCTTGGTTTGAAGTAGCAAAGAGTTGTAAATTTTATAAATGTCTAACCGTGGAGAATTAGTTTGGAGATGAGGCTGGCATGAAATGTATGTGTGTGTTTGTGTGTGTGTGTGTTGTGTGTGAGTGTGTGTGTGTTGTGTGTGTGTGAGTGTGTGTGTGTGTGTTGTGTGAGTGTGTGTGTGTGTGTGTGTGTGTGCACGCGCGCATGTATACAAAGAGATCTGGATCGTTCCACACTAAAGATTTAAATAATCGTTCTCTGAATGGCTTAGATTTTGACTTTTTCCTCCATGATGAACAAGCATTGCTTCTGTAATAAGGAAAAAAAAATACAAAACAAATATAATCAAACGAAAGAATGAAGGAAAAAGATTT